GTGTGTGCGTGCAGGGGGGGGGGGCCCCCGAGGCCTCTCTGGGGGCCCCCCCCCCTTGCTGCTAGAGGCATTTCTTAACTAGAGATATTTTTAAAATATTCTTTTTGCTGCTGCTGTACAGCAAGCGATGCAGCTGAAGGCACAGGGGGTTTGAGGTTTATTAGGGTTTGCTAGGGTTTAGGGTTTCTAGGGTTTAGGGTTTGACTGGCTGAGAGGGGCCTATGCTACACAAACCTCCTCCCCCTCCCCCCTTCTTCCGTGTTGCTGCTGTTCCTGCTGCTGCTGTTGCTGCAGCAGCAGCAGCAGGCGGCTACCACCTGATTTGTTTCTATCTGTAATTTACTTCAAATGTATCATAGACAAACTCCGATAGATTAGATGAAAATATATAACAAACTCCCTATTAGCGGAACAGCCAAGGGGCATCGCGGGGGCCCCCTGAGGCTACTAGTGGGGGCCCCTTTCCGCTGCAGCTCAAGCAGCAGCAGCAGCTGTTGCTGCTGCAGCTGCGAGTGCTGCATCACATGCTGGAGCAACTGCTGCTACACTCCAGCAGCTAAATACCCCCTCTGCATGCACGGGTCTTCTTCATATAGACCCTCCTACACCCATTGCAAACCACTGGGAAAGGAGCTAGCTAGCTAGCTTGACTAGCTAGCTAGCTAGCTAGCTGGGGGAAGGCGAGAGGGCCTCCCGGGGGAGACATACAGACGCACTTCAAGGGGGAGAGAGGCCTCTGCAGCCCCGTTCTAGCCTCCTAGCTAGCTGGTTGGCTAACTGGTCAACTGACTAGCTAGCTAGCTAGCTAGCTGGATAAATGACTAGCTAGCTGCCTGGCTAGCTGCTTCTACTGATTTAAGCTAGCTGGCTCTCTTACTTAGATAGCTGTTCACTTGTAGCTAGCTAGCTGCTGGAGATACGAAGAGCAGCAAGGCTGGGACTGCTGCAGCTTGCTGTTTGCTGCTGCGCCACTGCATGCATGCAGAGTGTAGTTGAGGTGTACATGCAGCTACTCTTTCTCCTTAGGTGTACTTACACCGCAGGCTGACTCCTTCAGCAGAAGTTTTTTTTCTTTCCTTCTTTATTTGTCTCCCGTCAGCTATTATGATTATATGTCTGTCTGTTTCTAACATCGCATTGGCTGCTGCTGCTGCTGCTGCTGCTGCTGCTGCTACGTGGGGTAGTATATCTCGCTTGCATTGAGGCCCTTGCAGACTTGAGAAGACGGCTTTCCCGCAGCAGCAGCAGCTGCTGCTGCTCCTGTTGCTGCTGCTGCTGGTATTGGTCTTGCTGCTGCAGCAATACCTGCTGCAGCAACACGTGCTGCAGCAACACCTGCTGCAGCATATTTAGCAGACTTCTCTTTTAAGAGCGACAACTGGGGCCTTCGTGAATGTGGGGCCGGAGAGGTTGAGGAAGCTGCTGGTAGCGTTGGAGCTGTGTCTCCTAGAGTGTGGGGTCGGGATCGTCTCCCATCGATCCCCAACCGGGATCGATCCCGCGGATCGATCCCAGGCCAATGCACCACTAGGGAGAGACCCCTCAACTGCTGCTGCTTTTGCTGCAGAGTATTGCTGCTGCAAGAGGGCCCACCTGCTGCTGCGGGTATCCATCAGGGGGGGCCCCCGCAGCACAGCGAAGAACTGCTTCAGGCTGCAGCAGGAGACACAGCAAATAAATAAAAAATTAAATAAATAAATAAATTAAGAGACAAAGCAGGAGACAGCAGCAGACAGAAGGGCCTAAGCAGCAGCTTGTGCTGCAGAAGGAGACACCAGAAACAACAAATATACAAAAGGAAGAATAAATAAATAAATAAATAAATAAATACATAAATAAATAAATAAATAAATAAGCAAACAAACAAAAAGAGTCAGGAGAAAGCAGCAAATAGCAGGAGACAGCCAGACACCGGAGCAGCAGCACAAGCTGCAGCAGAGCACGTACACCCGAAACCCCACAAATCAAAAGGAGACAGCAGCAGCAGCAGCAGCAGCAGCAGATATACAACAACATGCAGACAAAGGGAGAGGCGAGAAGAGACAGCATAAGAGACAGCAGCAGAGACAAATATATTTTTATTTCTTACTTCATGTTGTTCAATGCACTCGCATTCATCACAGCCTCCACAGGCTGAGACACCCCACAAACACAGCAGCAGCAGCAACAACAGTAGCAGCAGCAGCAGCAACAGCAGCAGAAGCAGCAGTTTATGCTTTTCTGGGGCTAAGTGCTGTGTTGATAAGAGCGCAAGAAAAGAGACAAGAGAAAAAATATCTAAAAGAATAAAGACAGGCGACAATATACACAAAAGAGATATATATATATATATATAGCGAGAGAGAGACAGAGAGAGAGAGAGAGAAAGAGAGAGAGAAAGAGAAAGAGAGAGAGACAGAGACAGACAGAGACAGAGACAGAGAGACAAAGATATTTGCACTTGGATATATATGCATACATATATATAATATATATATATATATATATATATATATATATACTTATGTATATATCAATATACAGACATATGCACGCATGCATGCACATATATAATATATATATGTCATAGTAATATAAAGAGATATATTAATTTATTTAATTACATTAATACACATACATAAAAACATATATTAATATATTTATTTGATTATATTATATTCAATTATATTAATATTAATATTTATATTTATATTTATATTTATATTTATATTTATGTTTATATTTATATTAATATTAATATTTATATTTATATTAATATTAATATTTATATTAATATTAATATTTATATTAATATTTATATTTATACATTACCTGCATTAATTCTTTTCTTTCGGTGTTTGCATGCAGAGCGACATTTGTCTTTTGAAGTGCAGTTAAATAGCGAAGTGCAGCAACAACCAGAGGGAACTTTAACTCTAATCCTTTCTTGACTCCTGATGCTCCCTCATTGCTGCTGCGGAAGCGAGCAGCAGCAGCAGCTGCTGCTGCTGCTGCTGTTGTTGGTGCATGCGCTGCTCCTGCTGCTGTTTTTAGAGGTAAAGGAATCTCTGCATGACATACATCAACTGCTACACGCATAGCATCGTTGCTGCTGCTCCAAGCCCTGTTGTTGTTGCTGCTGCTGCTGCTGCTGTTGCTGCTCAGCCTCCTACCGCTGGTGCCGCTGCTGCTGCTGCTGCTGCTGCTGCTGCTGTTAGCGAGAAGGAAGCGGAGGTGCTGCAGCTGAAAGTAAAGAAGCTGAGGAGGTAGACAGTCTACAACTTTTCCTCTCTCGCATAAAGGGCATCTTAAAGAAGCCCCTGAAGATAAAGGTCCTGGAGGTAAAAATTCATAGCGGCTGCTGCACTCGCTGCAGCTGCACATACACCCCAATGCATGCAGCAAAGTAAACAATATACAACCGTCAACATGTTTAAACAGATGTAAAAGGAAGAAAATAACTCAAAAGATATAACAACAAACAAAATGAATATACAGAAAACATATAAACAACAGCAGAAGCAACTGCAGCAGCAGCACTTGCTGCACTTGCAGCATCACCGACAGAAACAGCATCACTACCCACAGCTGCAGCAGCGGCACACGCAGCAGCAGCAGGGGAAGCAGCACCAGCAGGAGTAGGAGAAGCAGCAGCAGCAGCAGCAGCAGGAGAAGCAACAGCAGCAGAAGCAGCAGAAGCAGCAGCAGAAGCAGCAGCAGGAGCTGGTTATTACCGGAATGTGTGTATATGAAAGGTGTTTAAAAGAAAAGACAAATAAAGGCGCAGCACTCCCCGCAATGCAGATGGAGACAGCCAGC